AACACTTGATAATTTGCAATACCCAGCAGTGGCTATATATAAATTTGAGTCGATCATGACAAACTTTGGTTTAAGAATCATGGTGAGGGGCTTAAGAGTCATAACAAAATCTGAACCAATTTTTACCAAACTTGATAAATTTATTTCCTTATATTTTATATTTTGGAAATCGAAAGGTATCATTCCTACTCGAAATATATCCAGTATGGGTTCCAATCTATTTCCGTTTCTACCTTTGCTCGAATGGTGACTAGAAATGGGATTCCGAAAAATATTTACTAAAAATATAATATTAAGTTCAGTCGTCTAAAATTTGAGTTTCATAAAACGACCTAATATAGCGGCACCTTCTGATATTTACCTTACCTTATAAGGACAACATTGACGGGGCATTGGTTTTGAAAATATGTTACATGGCTGTTAAGCAGGATAAATATATAATAAATAATATATTGCACTGTATGATTGTTATTACAAATAACAACAAACACATTAATGTTACTCTTTTAATAGATTTCTTAATGTTCACTTTTATTCAATCGATCAAAGTATTTTACAAAAATATTTCTCATTATATTTGCTGTCATCCGAAATAAATCTCTTTACTTTCCTTATTGGAATTATTTTTTATTCGTCTCACCGACACCTAAATTAATTAATATGGCCACACCTTAAAAATTACACAAAAGAAATGTCACTCCTCGAAAATGAGTTAATTTTGCATAAATATTTATAACAAAAAATATTCAATATTAAAAATGTTTTTTCATACCAATACATTTGACCGTGTCGAAGTAATTTGTTATTCAGAGAAATTTTCATTGGCTCAGATTCGTGGTAAATAATTTATTTATGAGTGGGCGTGATTATGTATGTAACCATGAAATCAGGAAACATGTTGTATTGTTCATCTATTTCGCAGAAATTTTTAATAACGGTTTTCGCACTAAAAAATAATAAAATAAAATGGGCGGAATGTTCGGAATTGAGGTAATAACACATAAAATCATTGGCATCATCGCTTTTGTGCAATGATGATTCCATTAAATAAGGATATTCATACACTTGACTATGAGTCGTTGATACATAGGCAGTTTGTTGAAAGTGAGATATTGGGATATTAGAATAGAAATTATTATTTTTTACATTGCCTACGTGGTCATATAGCCCTATAAGGCCAAATTTTTCACAAGTTTTAACACAAATTTCAAACTCCTCGAGAGTATGAAACTAATTTGCAACCAAAAGTTAGCAGACTATCATATTTCGATATAAAACGCGTGTAAATATTTATCAGGTTTTATACCCTCTCTCGGCAACATTTGGTCGAGCTAGCGGTGTCCGCCCTTTTGTCTGTTTATCTGTCTCACCGTAAATCCTGAATGGAGTATCCGATTTCGTTCAAATTTTGTACATCGCAAAATTATTGTCAAAGTTAGATCAAGGTCAGAGAGGCATAACTCCGCCGAACTTTTTATACCCTCCCCCATTTGCAAGAAACTTGAAAAATGTCAAGAAAAATTCCGTCAAAAAATATCTTTCTAAGAAAACCATTGGTCTATACGAAGATGTGGCCCAGCATAAGTAACTTTTGTAATAGGCAGTAGTAACGGTTCAAATACGAAATTTGAAACAATTCCGGTGAATAATGTCGGAAAAATCATGAAAATACCGAATATCTGTGGGTTCCGTTGTATGGGCGCTAAACTTAAGCGTGGATCTATATAGATAATTATATTCTAGGGTATAAAGTACTCACAAGGAACTCCTTGTATGGATTTTCAGAAAATTCCATTGAAACATGTGGCTAAGATCACCAAAATACCGAATATCGGAGGGTACCGTTAAATGGGGCTAAACCATATCGTGGACCTAAATAGACATTTCTCTCAGGGAACTCCTTGTATGGATTTTCAGACAATTCAGATACGATATAGTGCACCGATATAGCCCATCGTCGTACTTGAATTGAAAAGACACATCTGTGCAAAATTTTAGATTCCTATCTTGTTTCGTTTTGACTCTAGCGTGATTACAACAGACGGACAGGACTATATCGTCTTAGAATGTTGTGCTGATCAAGAATATATATACTTTGTTGGTTCTAACATACTATGTATGGTGGGAGGTATAAAAAACAAAATACTGAGAGGTGCAGTAATATGTTGGATGTACGAAAATATGAACCTGTATGGGTATTTTTCCACAGAACACCGAATGTCAACTTTTTAACAATTCCGGTCAACAATGTGGCTCCTCATAGATACGTTACATAAGGTTTATACCTCAACATGGACATATATGGACAGTTCTTTGCTGAGTGCACGAACTCAAAACGTTGACTAAAATTCCAAAAAAACATTTAATCGGGTGGTATCGTAATATGTGCGCTATACCAAAGTTTAGACCTGTAAGAACCACTTGCAATGCAAAAAAATATAATATTCTTTTATATATACTATAGTTAATGTTGTCAAACGACTTTTTTCCTGTCGGAAGCTAAAGTGATTCCCACAGAGTGACAGGTTGAAAAACGAACATGGGTCAATTGATATTGAAATGTACATTGATCAAGAATGTATACATTTTATGGAGACCATCTCCAAAAAAAGGTCTTTTATTGTGACTCTAACCACAACTGAGTGGATATTTTCGTTACGATAATAGAGTGATTACAAATTTACATGGACCGACGAATAAAAATAGCTAGATCGACTCAACTCGGCATGGTGAATTTATGACCAATATTTCGAGGTGTCACAAACTTTTTGGGCCAATCGAGTTAATAACACACTCACTGGATAATTGAAAAATTTGGTTGTGCCAAACATGGACAAAATCTTGATACTTCATACGATTAGATGTTTGTTATATGATACCAGAAACAGTAGGCCCATATCTCCTATTAATACATTCATTGCGAAAACATTTGCTTTCAATTTTTTTTTATTTAAAGCTTCACGCCCACAAAATTTCGCCTGCTAGTTCCTTTAATAAAAATACATATTTTATGTTCAACAATAACCAAAATTGCTAATTTTGGAGTGAAGATCAGCCAGAAGAATTGTAAAATCTACCAATGCATCCAGAAAAGTCATAGTTAAGTGCATTTAATAGGGAGGTGCCATAATCTTACCATATTTCTCCAAAGATTCTGAGGATCGTAAAATTACTGTGACTAGTAAACGCTACCATGAGATGATGTCCGACCTGTTTGCCCAAAATGCATGCACTTGACTTGCGTGACAGGCTTCAATTGGTGCATTGGTAGGAAACATTGAAGGATTTATTAGTGAGATACTGATTGTAATGTTGAAAAGAGTATGCCAAAATTGTGACGAAGTCGCGGTAATCATTTGCATGAAATAATCATCAAACATTAAATTGTATGGTCCATACTATCAATTCAAATAAAGACTTCATGCATTTTTCTGAATTTTATGCCTATGTCATTCCGTTTCTAATTTCTTGAAATACTCATTTCAGTATTATCAGCCATTCCTATATATTCGTCCTAGATCCCTTAAGGTATATATTATATTCCTGATCAGCATAAAATTCTAAGTCGAATTAGCGTTGCCCGTCTGTTTGTCTCTCCTTCTGTTTGTTGTTTCAAATTTCGTATTTGAAGTCCAAAATCGGTACTCCAAAAATTACCTATGGAGGTCCTCGTCTTCATATAGCCGTTTTTATTTATACGGTATTTTTAACGATTTTTTTTAATTTTAAAGTTCCTTCCAAGTTATGGAGGTATTAAAAGTTCAGCACGGCCGATCTTGGGTTCTTTTTACTGGTTTACATTCATATAGCTCTCAAAAAATCGTCACTTTTAAGAATTTGCCATATAATCAATGACGACATGTATTGATCTAAGCCCTATACATGTTTCATCCGACAATAAATTTTGTGAATCCTTATTGCATTTTCCAGAAGAAGTACTTTTATAAAATTCTATGTCGATTTAGAGATGTCTGTCCGTCTATCCGTCTATGCAAATCACTCTAGCTTCCGAACGAAATGAAGTAGGTTAATAAAATTTTACTCAAATGTGTATTATGTCTGCAGGACTTTTGGTATTGAAAATGGGTCATGTAGGTCCACGTTTTTGTATAGTCCCTCCATTTTTCGGTACTTTGGTGATTTAAGCGACATTATTCACCGGAAATGTTTCAAATTTGATATTTGAAGTTCGTAATGGACAGTACAGCCTAAGACAGAAAATTGTCTGTGCAGGTCCACGTTTTTGTATAAAACCCATATAACATTACTCCCGATATTCGGTATTTTGTTGATTTTAGCGAAATTATTTACCGGAATTGTTTCAAATTTGGTTGTTTGAAATTTGTAATGAATACTACAGTCTAAGAAAAAGAAATTGTCTGTGCAGATCCACGTCTTCGTATTGGTTATTGAAATGGCTTATGGCAAAAGTTGCCTATGTAGTTCCACATCGTCGTATGGACCCTAATATAAAAGCTACGTTCGGTATTTTTAAGATTTTAACAGAATTTTTAATGGATTTTTTTTTTTTTTTTTGAAAATTGCCAAATTCGTTCCAAACGGTGGAGGGCATTCAAATATCGTCACGGCTTAACTTACAGTTTTTTAACTTGTTTTTTTTTTTTGTCTTTTAAAAACTGGAGAGAACCATTGAAGAAATTAACAAGATTGTGGAGATGAAAAAGGAAACACAGAAACTGAATATTTCAAGCATCTTTAGGACTATAATTGAAGCTGGCACAATTAATTGATTATTTCTCAATATTCAAGAAGGACTACTTTCAAAAAGGTGTTATGCTATTTTCCATATTTTCATATAATTTCCATATTTTCATGCTAATGTATTTATATACAATCATTTATAATGCCCTTCATTTGCTCGATTTAAGATTGAAAACAATTACCCCGGTGACCTTGAACATTTTCTAAAATCTACAAAAACCCAAACTTCCCTAAAAATATACATTTTCAATTTCTATTCTTCATGAAAAAAAAAATCATTACATTCAAATTTTTAAGTTTATTTCTGAATATCATAATCAAAAAGATAATGACATGTCGGTTTTCGTTTTCGAAATGTTTTGCAAGATAGAAAATGAAAATGACAGAGGATGAAAGGTTAAGGTGGGGATATGAATAGAAATTTGTTGCCCAAGGGGGAGGAGAAGTGTAATTTGCATGTCAGCTCAGCTGAGTAAAGATTTTGAAATGGTGAACAAACATCAGGGGGAATAAAATATAAATGAAAAAAAAACTAAGGAAATGAAGTGAATGAATTTGTGTGGGCTTTAATGAGACTTTTCCAGCTTTATAAGATGACGGCAAATACAAAAAAAGTCTAATAATGCGAGTTAAGGGTAATGACAAAGCAGGCAGTGCTCTGTAACAGGCGAATTGGAGAAAAGAAGAAGAAAAATTTAATGAAGTGAAACATTGTCAAGGAGCAATGGGGGAGAGAAATGGAAGACTGCCTGAGGTATGCAGTCCAAAGGGGAATTCACATCTTGAGATGTCTGTGAATAAAGAAATGTCATAATTTGTGGTGTCGTTTGCCAATGAATAGAGCTGATGATGACTGTTTTGTTTGAAAACTGTCTTTGAAAAAAGATTAAATTATGAAATGTTTGATGGAATTGAGGTGCGTACAAACGAGAATGTATGTGTGTGTGTAGATGTATTAGTTATGAGTCTGAAAGAATTCCAATGACAAAGTATAAAAATTTATGATTTGTTTATTTTGTTTGAGAAATGAAAGTTTGTGGAGAAATTTGCTTTGAATGAACTGGAAAAAGTGTTAATGAATTGTACAAATAGCTGCTTTGTTTGGTGTCTGAAATTAAAGTATAAACCCAAAAAATGAAGAGAAAAAAGAAAGAAAAGATGCAAAGTTTTTTTTTAAGAAAAAGTCATGAGTTTGTATTTTTTCGATAGGTGTTTTCACAATGGAAAAAAGTGAAATGAAATAGTGACAGAGATAGTATTAGATCAAGGAGTAGAAGAGAGTACAGAATGAGAGAATAGAAATAGTGCAAGAGTTAAGAATACAAAGGAAATGAAATATAGCATAAGTAGGTATAGTAAAGATAGAGAGATAGACAGCGAGAGAGATGAAAACCGTTAACACAATACTTTAAATGCTGACTAGTTTTCATGCATTTTGTGATAACCGTTTTTCATATACATATGTCTGTGTGTGTTTGGGTCCTTCAGCTGCAAAATTATTAGAAAAAGTTATAATGTTCCTCTTTTAAAGAGAGTGAGGTTCAAAAGAGGAAATTATTCAAACTTAGATATCTAAAAATTGTATTGTGTCGTTGTTAGTCATCTCGTGGGAAAATCGAAAGGATTGCTTTTCCAAAACGAAAACCTAACTTTTGAATAACAAATCTCATTCCTAAGGCACATTTTTTCATGATTTTTTTATGGTTTCAATAAATTAAATAAAAATAAATTAAAATAAATAAAAATAAATTAAATTATCGATTCGTAACTGAAGAATTTTGTTATAAAGTGGGTCCTAGTTGAATTTGTTCTTATCCTTTCGTTTTAAATTAGTGTCGTTGTGATTACCCTAAAATAAACATTGCCAGACTGTTTACCGTCTGCTTTGTTTGTAGCCGGAGTAGGCAATGGTTTGGGCAACGGGAGAACTGTAGGCACCATGGGAATCCCAGCCAGCACTGCTGCCAGATGACCAGCCACCAGTGGCGGCACCACCTGAGGACCAACCGCCAGAGCCGGATGAACCAACGGAAGCAGCACCGGAGCTCTTTCCACCGAACAAACCACCCAAACCGCCCAAAAGACCACCAGCACCGCCGGAACCGCCCAAACGGCTCAAACCGCTACCAGCACCAGCAGCCAAGGCCAAGAAGAAGGCAATGATGGAGATGACGAGAGCCTTCTTGGCAATGAACAACAAACCGAAGATGGAACCAATACCCAAGACAGCGACCTTAGCACCGACACCCAACAAGATTGGCAAGAATTTCTTCAACAACTTCTTCTTCTTGCCGGTACGGGATTCAACAACCAATTCACGCAAATCAGCCTTGATGTCATCGGGAATGGCGCGGGCAACGGAACGGGCAGCATTGGCAAAGTTGAAGTTCAAGGAGCGTTCGGCAAAGAAGTTCTTGGCATTGGTCAACATGTAGTTACCCATTTCTGTGGTGCGGGCCTCAATGGTGGGGGCATTTTCAACGGCAACAGCGGTTTCATCCAAAGCCTTACCTTGACGACCTTCATTGGACTTGATCAATGAAACACCGCCGAACAATTCAATTTGGGGATTATCGAAGAAGGATTTGGCTTTGCGGTAGAGCTGTAAACGAGACGAAAAAGAAGAAGAAATTAGTATTGACATTTAATTGAGGAGAGAAAGGTTTAAAAGCTATGATTGTGCTCAAATAAGTAGTGGATTTTATGTTTCGAAGTGTGCCTTATCTAATCATCTTAATGTTTTATTTTGAAAACATGTTACTCTTCAAGTTCATGGTTGGCCATAAAAAAAACACAAATGTTAAAACTGTTAATAGCCAAATTCGAAGTGGGTCGTGATTTCATTTCGAAATGAAAGCATTAAATTGCTCTAATTTGAAAAGAAGAAACATTTTCGAAATAAAAAAAAACTTGCTGTTCATATATACCATCCAGTCAAATATTGAAAATATTTTTTCAAATGATTTTGAATTAGGGTTTAAAATCAAATGAAAGCAATTTAATACAATTTGCTAAAATTCCAAAAAAAAAATGGGAAAAATAAAAAATGGTATCAAGTTTCGGAAACTAATTCAATGGTATTGGGGAAACTGCTTCATGTTTGAAGTCAAGACAAGTGTAATATGTGATATTCATGATTTTTTTTCGAAATATAATCAAAATTGCAAAATATTACGGGATTGTGACCTGAGCCAATTTAGCTGTCAAAGGAAAGTGAAAGTTGGAATCAATTCCAAATCTTTAATTTTCGTTTCTCATTCACGAGATAAACTTAATGATCTGATTTCATTTTCTTATGAAATTGCCCTCAGAGAAGTTGAAAATTTATGTAATAATTATTGGAATTTGGAAACTTGTTTTTCTGGATACGAACTGTATTGGGAATTACATAAGATCCTCAAAAAGGAACAACTCAAGGTGGAGTGAAATTACACAAAACAAGTTTTGATTATGACATGGTCATGTAATCCATGGGAAAATATTGCACTTTATGTTGGTCGCAGCAGAGACAAGTAGTGGCAGGCCAATGGTGGTAACCTACTTAAGATGTTATCTAACAAAGGCACATTTTCATCATCACTCTTAATTTATGCAATATTTTTTTTTTGTTAAATTTTAATTTAAAGTCTTTCACTTTCAGTTTCTTAGAAAATTTCTAAGAGGCTGTTGATTATGTTTTCATTCTCAACACTTTCAGTTTCATTTCGAAATCTTTTGGTGTTTATTTTGTAAATTACTGTTTTTCTCTTTTTTTCTTGAAATTTTCACTTTTTTTCTGTTTTAGCCTTTTTGGTTGTTCATTGTTCAGTTTTCTTTCCGTATTTTTCTTATGGGCTGTTTGTTTAATTAGTTAATCCTTGTCTTATGATGAGCACCAAATTGTTGAAGTCTTTTTTTTTTTTTTTGTTTTGTTCTTTTTTTTTCAATTATATAATAATCCGTACCGTTAATTGCAGACACGAAATTGAATCAGCTTCCAAGCACTTGGCGAACACACCATTCTGCTCAACAGTGTTATCCTTGATGGCTGGATTGGCAAGGATGCCTGAGGCCAATAAAAGCACACAACTTGTAGCAACAAAGAATTTCATTTTGTTTTAAGTTTTTTGTTTTTGTTTCTCGTGTAAATGAAACTAATTTAGGATATTTTTTGTCGGGATTAAACTTGTAGTTAACCGTTTAATAAGACTTATGAACACCACCGAAATCACTGTGTGTTCATTCGAATGGAACAAGTTGAGGTTTGATAATTTTTCGTCGGTGTCAGGCTGTTTTTAAACAGTCTCAAACAATCAACCGAAATCGTATAATTATGCAAAACCTATAGAGACTCTTGGCAGGCGTCGTCGTTGATGCCAAGCTTTGCTGCTGCTGCCCGCGCTGCTACCCTAAGGCAGCTAACCAAACCTATGCCCATGCCCATTGAGAGATGACGATGATGCTCTTGTAAATGTGGCTGCCTGCCATTGCTGCTGTATTGCATTGCCTGTGTGTGGTTGTTGTTGGGATGCCGGTTAAAGGTAAAAACTGATGACAATAACAGCAGTAATATAACCATTGCCCCTACCAACACCAGCAACAGAGCTTCTCCACCGCCAAAAACAACAACAACGTCAGCGGAGCTATAACCATAAATAAGAAAACCTCAATGTATATCATTAGCAGCAACACATGTAAAAAACATGGCCATTAATGTTTAACCCCACTTTGAGCGAAGCTTTTACTACGCACCGTCGGCTCAGCGGCTGATGGGCAAAACCTCAACTCTCTGCCGGGCTCTTGACCAATGCACTATGGGTTTTTTTACGTTTATTTTGGCATAAACTCTAATTTCAAAGCTATTGAATTGAAATTTGGTTTGTATGCATTTTTTATGCTTCCAAGATGACCTACCAATTTTCATATGATTTGGGGCACTATTTCATATAGCTGCTATATAGCCGATCTGGCCGATTTGACCCAACTTTTTTGTTTATGAAGCTATTGAAGTGAAATTTGGTTTGTATTAATTTTTTATATCCCAAAGATGACTTACGAATTTTCATATGATTTGGGGCACTATTTCATATAGTTGCTATATAGCCGATTTGGCCGATTTGACCCAACTTTTTTGTTTATGAAGCTATTGAAGTGAAATTTGGTTTGCATTCATTTTTTAAGCCCCCCCCCCCCAAGATGACTTACGAATTTTCATATGATTTGGGGCACTATTTCTTATGTAGCTGCTATATAGCCGGTCTGGCCTATTTGACCCAACTTTTTTATTTATGAAGCTGTTGAAGTGAAATTTGTTTGGTATACATTTTTTATTCTCCCAGGATGACCTACCAATTTTCATATGATTTGGGACACTATTTCATATAGCTGCTATATAGCCGATCTGGCCGATTTGACCCAACTTTTTTTTATGAAGCTATTGAATTGAAATTTGATTTGTATTCATTTTTATGCCCCCAAGATGACCTACGAATTTTCATATGATTTGGGGCACTATTTCATGTAGCTGCTATATAGCCGATCTGGCCGATCGGCTATGATGATTTGGAGAAACATACTGCTCATCCATTACAATAATTATACTTTTGCTAAGCCATTTTGAATGTTTAGTCTTAAATCGCTCTAGTTTACGGATGCACATTGGCAAATGCTTTTTTATATAATTAACAAAATCTTTCACTTGTTTTGATATCAAACGCATTTGGTCTTCATTTAAACTGATATTATTGATATTCTGTAACACATATTTCACAAGTGCATCTTCTGAGCGATTGTTGCTTCTCCAAATTTCAATAAGCGCTGCATGGACAAACACATGTTTATCTGCAAAACACGTGTTGGCACAAAATAGAACAAAAAAGGCTAGTTACTCATTAATTAACACACTTTTGTTAATAACTTGGCATTTATACCTTTTTGCAATGCTTTGCCATTCACAAGTTACACTCCACGGAACACAACTACAATTTATAGATTTTATATAAAGCTATACATAAACGAAACAATTCACAGTATTACAACAACAGACAATTATGACAAAAAGGGCACCTCGTCTTAATTTTACATACCTGCACTAACGTTTTCCATAATTACACATTTTATTTTTTTCAATTTTGTCAAATCAGAAGCACTTGAACTTAGCTGATCTTTACCGCCAGTTGTACCAAAACAAAGTGACTTTCAAACAGCTGACTTTAAAAGCTCGCCAGCAAAAAAGGGTTGCCACCCGTATTGATATTAAACATTTTTTTTCTAATATGGGTATCTACATTTAGGAAATCAGTTAAATTTCAAAATATGAAACCAAAAAAAAAAATGACTTTATGCCAAAAAATCATGCTTTTTACCCATAGTGCAATGGCCACAATCAATGGCAACAAAAACGCACACACACACATACTCAATAACCGTTAACATTCATACGTCCACCGCACACCCCCGTAGCTCCATAAAACACTCTCTCTTTCGTTGGTTAGCAGCTCAAAGAATTTCTTTGGTTGTTGACAAAAAAAGCGTTGAGAGATGGTTTTGAGAAACCTACGTTAACATCGACACGCATCTACCAAAAATCACTTGCGCGCACACACACACCTTCTTTTGCATTGCCATATAACTGTTCATAAATTTCTTTCCGCATTTTTTGTTGTTTTCATTTGGAGGGACTCTCTCTTCGCTTTGCATTTACTCTCAAGATCATGATCTTGGTAGGTATTATTATTTTGTATAATAATTATTAACAGATTGCTCCCTAAGCTTTTGACTTTTGGTAACAAACTCTTTACAATGGCAAAAGCAGCAGCAACAACAACAACAACAATATCAACTTAAAAGGCTACAAAATGCGTTGGCGCTTTGACTGGTAATTTATGTAAGTGACGGCGGCGAGTGTGATGTGTAAGAGGTACATTTTTGTTTATTTCCATAGTTTTTCGTCTTCTTCTGCGTTTGCACAGTGGGAGATTTGTTATTGTAAATTGGCATTGGAATTTGTAGAAATTTTGCAATTCAAATTTCAAAGAATTTCTAATTTTATACATGCAAGGTTATTTTAATCCAATTTGAAGCATGGAAATTTGAAATTCATTGAATTGAGATGTTCAGATATGTGTTATGCAATTATTTCCTATCTTATTGATATTGATGGGCTGATTGGCTTAGTTGTATCATTTAGATATCTGGTATTTATTGCATGAATGGTTTAATCAAGCGGTATTCCACTATTTAGATTCTGGGAATCCCTGATAATGCGTGTATTAATCGATTTAATCGGGGTTAAGTATCCAAAATGTTGACACTTTTGGGGGAGGTTTTAAGTCAATTTGTCTATTTTCCACATAATTGAGGTCCGATAGAACATTTTCAAAAAATATCTCTTGGTATCCTTTGATTCCCATATCCTATTTGTCTGAAACTAAGGTCATGTATGAAAATGGATCATATAGACAATTCCTTCTTACATCTCCTTTAAAAAAAGTCAAACTTCTAAAAAAAATATTAGGGCCGTTATTACATCTTTCCGATGGATAAAATATTGATGTTGTCGGACAAATAAATTGGTTTTGTTAATACATTTAAATATGAACTGTCCGATATGCAAATGGTCAGACCATTTTTCCTTAATATTTTAACGTAAAGTTTACAGAATTCATGTTGCCATATTTTATATTGATAATATGCTAATAACAGGAAAATTTGTTCAACTAACGAAATGGATATCGCAAGTCGTTTATTTTATATCTAAGAACAGAATTATAGATTTATTTCACGACATTGATTACATATTCGTTTTGTTTATTATTTATTTAACTATTATGAGGATGCCGTTGTGAAAACAAGTAAAAAAGCTGTAAATTGGGCCGGGCCGAACTTTGAGTACCCTCCACCATTTGGAAGGAATTTAGCACTTTACGAAAAAATATAATCCATTAAAAAATTTGATAAAATCTTAAAAATGCCGATGTAGCAATTTTATTAGGGCTATACGATGACGTGGGCTTGCATAGGCAACTTTTGTCATACAAATTCGAAACTTAAAAAAAAAACGTGTATAATATCGCTAAAATCATCAAAATACCGAATGTACCGTACCGTATATGGGGGCTGTAATATCATAGGCTGTAGTATCCATTAAGAACTTCAAATACAAATTATAAACAATTCCGGTGATTAATGTCGATAAAATCATCAAAGTATCGAATATCGGAATATACCGTTATATGGGGGCTATACCGATACGTGGAGCTGCACTGCATAGGCTGTAGTATCCGTTACGAACTTAAAATACCAAATTTGAAACATTTCCGGTGAATAATGTCGCTTAAAACACTAAAAAACGAAAATAGGAAGGTTCAATTACATGGGAGCTATACCAAAACGTGAACCTACATGGCCCATTTTCAATGCCAAAAGTTCTGCAGACATAATATACATTTGAGTACAATTTTATCAACCTACTTCATTTCGTTCGGAAGCTAGACGGACATAAAATCTTATGCTGATAAAGAATATAAATACTTTGTGGGGTCTAAAATGTATATTTCGAGGTGTTACAAACGGAATGGTAAACTTAATATACCCTCCATACTATGGTGGAGGGTATAAAAATGCAGTGACTACCATTTACTTTTCCAAAAAGCTTTTTGGTGGGCGAATTTTAAAATGCACCTACAGTTTGTACAAAAATAGAACTAAAAGTGGCCTATAATTCTTCAGCGAAAGTTTCACCTTAAAATTTCAGATTCGTACCAACACTTCGTGGTAGTTCTTTTTTAGTACTCAAAATGCACAATTTGTTCGGTTTGACAATTTTTATCAAATATCAAATTTAATCAAATCTTCATACATCGTTCTAAGCACTTAAAAGCTTTTATATATATTATTCAAGTTTTCCTTTTGCAAAATTATCATAGGAAAATGTTTATCTTTTACACCAAAAATTCTTTACAATTCATAGTACCTTTCGCACTCTTTTAGTACGAATATCCAAAAACCCGGCCTTATAACTCAAGACTGCAAAATCTCAAGAATATAGCTTCAGCCATTTCGCCAGGTTTGATTCTATGTCAGTCAGTCATTTTTAGCTAACATTTTGCACACATGGTTATTTTGCCAGTAGGAAGGTTAAGTTCGTAAATGGGCCATGTAGGTCCACGTTTTGGTATAGCCCCCATATAATTGTACATCCCTATTTTCGGTATTTTGATGATTTTAGCGACATTATTCACCGGAATTGTTTCAAATTTGGCATTTGAAGTTCGTA